CAGCGCAAATGAAAAATAATGATGCTGCTTATATGGGGTCAATGCCAGCTATTTGAAAACGCTTTGTGTAGAAAAGATTGTGCAGCCCAATGTACGGAGAGAGACAAGGACAAAAAGATAGAGAGGAGAATTGCAAGGTCTAGTCAGAAAAGCTGAGCTGATAGTAATTGAAAGAAGGGTTTTGCATAGTGCTGAGTTATCACAAATGTACTGCTCAGGGGGAAGAGAAGAACGAGGGAGTAAGCGGAGAAAGAGCTGGTGAGAAAAATAAGGGAACAATATGTGGACAAAAAGGTGACACTGTGATACGAGGTGGTGAAATTAATCCATATCTGAACCAGAAAACTGTTTTAATGGTGCATTCATGTGGTCCTTGGGTGCTCGTAATTCTGAGAAGAGGAGTTGAGTCATTAGTCTTCATAGTGCATTGAGCAAAATAGATTTTTTGAAGTGTTCTACCATTTTATAATGTTGTTCCCTCATCAAAAAATATGCCTGAAGTGGTTTTAGATGTCATTCATGCATGTTTGAGTAATCTAGAGTGCTCTCCGGGGCACTATTTGAACCCTCTTTACGGTTAGCTGTCAGATTCTGTCCAATGCTCCGCCCACAAGCCTACGTCACCCACGCTCCCACACGACAATTCTCCATAAATATACAAAAACCTGATAGAAAACTACAAACCTGATGCAATTTGAGGTAGTTTTATTAGTAGGATGCGCACCGATAGTGTTGTGATAGTGCTCTGAAGGGGGACTGACTTAGCAAAGGGAGGGATGACTCAAAAACAAAATGAAACTTATAAAACTTGTTATATGTTGCAATATATTGTTTTATGGCAAATATATAAATTTGAGTACAATAAAAGGTAACATGGTGATCTAAATATTAGGGATGTAACGATATCCAAATCTCTCGATACAATATTTTCACGATATGCATCTCAGGATTCGATATTTACTGCGATATTTTGAAGAGGTCAATATTATTGTAGATAAGATACGTTTTTGCTTTTAAAATACCTTGATGAGATTCTGGTGCAAATTATTACTGTCATAATCCTGAGAATTAAAGTAAAAAACATATTTCTTCATATTGGCTGTACTGAAATGCATCATGGGATATGTAGTTCCCTATGTTTATTGGTTGTTGCTACTGTAAAATGAGGCATTTAAGCAAAGGAACTTGTAATTCGATATATTGTGACAGTCCACGATATTATTGTATTATTACAGAGACTTTTGACGATATCACGATATTTCGGTTATTGTTACATCCTTATGTTATGTGTTGGCAATTAATTCAAGTATATACCCCCTCTTTAAAGAAACATTTACAAGTCAGCAAATTTTTGTATAACTCCTATAAATCTGTGTGCCAAAACCTTTTATATAACCTTACAGTCTCTAGTGGCTGGATTCCAAAAAAATCTGTATTCGGCACAGAAAAACTCATATTAATCAATCTCTAGCTGAACTTGGAGAATGCAACACAACATCTGTGGGTTTTAGAGTAATGAAAAATATAAATGTTGCCCCAGCAATCGGCAATTCAAAATATCATTTCTTGTGAATGGTCAGTCCTCAAAACAGCATCTATAAGGAAACTAAAATCCATAACTCTTACTGTTACAACTACCATTATTAAACAATCAGTAAAAAGCAGCTTCACTTTAGCTTAGTTTTATATGTGTAGGACTCCCTAAACATAACCAAACTGTTTTTCAACCTAAACCTAATCCTAAACCTTATAGGTGCATTGTGTAACTTTTCTAGGGTAGGGTCCACCACCTGCTTGTCCCTACGAAGATGTTATTATTTTGTCTGAAATGTTTCATACTGCAGCAAATCAGGAAAAATTACAGGTCAGACCTCTGGAGAGGCGACCCGCTCACAGTCAAAATGCCTGTTTTTTGAGGTATTTTTAAGCTATAAAACCACCTGTAACTGAATAAATGTAACGCAGATCTGTTTAATGTAATATTGTGGAACATTTCAGGCAGAGCAATGACATATCCATGGAAACAAGAAGGTGATAGACGCCCAAACAAAAAGTTTAACCTGATAGTGAAATAATATAAAGATCAAAAATAAACTTTGCTAAAAACTGCCACACATTTAGACTATGTTTACACTGAAACGAATCACCATATCACCGTATCAGAAACAATCTGCATCCAGACACATGGTTTCTGTGTCCGCAACCCTTCCCTGTCCACACAGCTTTGAGCATATTTGTTTACATTTTACAGAAATGAAACTTAAAACCACATTGCTCATTTGCATAAACTAAGCTCAAAAAACAACTCGCTATTGTGCGGTGATGCAGTTCAGCTTCTGTCAGACTAAAGGACACGACTCAGTGGATTACATGTGTTCTTTCTGTAACAGAGGGGTGTTCTGCTGATGGTGAGTCTGTTCTGTTCTTCTATTGCGTTGGAGAAGGTTCATGTGAAACTTTTCAGAGATTATACGTCTGCAGGTCATACTCATAGACCATATATATGAATAGACATATATTCTAGCTTCTTTGCATTCTGGCGGTGAATTACTGTGTGGCACATAGACCTACATCAGTGTATCAGCATTTTCTGGTGTCCACACGGTGCCGGATCTGATCTGTACTCAGATGAATTCGTGGGAAATCTGGCAGTACCAGATCGTTCCGTCTCTGGAGCCGTTTTCAGTTGGATTAGTGTGGATGAACACTGCATCCACAATGAAAACGACTCTGATAAATACTAGTGTGGACGGGGCATTAGAGACTTCTTTGAATAAGTTTTACTTCTGTTCACTGTTGCCATAGTAATTGACAATTCAAAATAAAATGGTCAAAGTACTCAAAATGGCGTCTAAATAGGAAACTAAATATAATCAAATAAACTGTTCTTAACCTGTAATATATGAAGGTGAAAAGACTCTCTTGTGCATATTCTGGTAAAATGAAATGTGATACTGAAAAATCATGAAAACCATCTCTTTCACACTGTATGTTGAGCTCTTTTACCAAAACCCAAATCTCTTGTATATGTTCTAAACAGCATCAGCTTTGACCCTGTGCGGAGCCTTCCTCCCACTACACGCTGTGAGAGAAATGGAATCGAAGTGGGAGTCGTGACAAAGCTGCCTGGCATTTATTTACCGCTAATATCATTTCAAAAGGTCGAGCGCCACTAATTTCACAACGCACTTTCAAACGGGCTGAAGTTTGTACTGGAAAAAAAAAAAAAACACACACACACACATATTGTCGGTTAAAACAAAAACAGGCCAAGACCCAGAGAAGATAATGAGAAAATGTGATAATCTCAAGAGAAGTGACTCAGACTAAAAGGACGAAAAAAGGGAAGTGAAGAGGAGAGAGACTGCAAAGAGAATACATGTGTGAAAAGGATTTGGGGCTGCAAGATGAATGGACGTAGTTAGCAAATCACACAAAGGGTAAACATTTTTGCAGCACCGTAACTTCTTCCACAAATAACAACACCTCCTGTCTTATTGTGCACAAATGTTTATCTATACAAAAATGTTCTGAAAGGTGATTCTTGTATAAGTTTATCAGTTCATTTCAGTCTTTCTGGACAATGTTGATTAGAATCTTTTTTTTTTTTTAACTACTCGCAATCGCAAAACTTGTCAAAAAAAATAAAGAAAAATAAATAAATAAAAAATTACTCACCCCATATTAATCTGTATTTAATATTTAGTTGAATCTCATTTGTTTCGTTATTTATAAAAACGTTGCACTTCTATAAGTAATTGTTACTCACTGGTAGATAAATAAAAACATATATAGTAAAAACAACATTTTTGACTCCAAGCAGCTAAACAAAATAACTAAAAAGAAAATTAAGAGATTAAGGGCCTGTTTCCACAAGAACGCTTGTGGGTAAAAACGACAAAATATTTTATTGGAAGTACCTTTCGTTCAGACGGTGATGCCGTTTTCGGGGCTTAAATACGCAAAAATCTGAAACCACCCTCCAGAGTGGAAAAGTTGAATACGCGCCCTAGCGTTTCCATCTACACTGTCCAAGACACAAAACTCTGGTCAGATCTGCTCACGTCGTGTGCGCGTTTACATACATCACCACCTAGTGTCACAACTTAGTTGCCTGGCATGCTTACCCAATCGAATTCCACACACTTTTGCATCACCGTATGCACGCGGATTTCTTCCCGAAAAAGCTCATCTCAACGCAGAATAAAAAGTGAAGATGCAATGCCACTTTTGCATCTTCTGTTCAGATCTTCTGTTGCATGTAACCAGTTGCAGGTGTTTGGTTGCTTAAAAAATATAAATTCCCACACAAGACAGCTTGCCTTTCCATAGATCTGACATGTAACTTGATGGCACCACCTTTCCAGACAAAGCAGACACATCTTTATGAAGACAAGCAGATGGCAGACCCTCAACAAAAAAGTTTTTTTTAAAGAAATCCAGACAGAATAGACAGTAAGTTATAGTCTCATTGTAAGTCCGGTCCAGTCAAAGTCAGATTATTTGTCGATATGATGCACTGGGGAGCTGTTTCTGTCCATCTTGTCCTCATCATTTTCTGACAGTTTTATGTAAATTTATGAGGTTTAATAATCAGTATTCTCATCTCCATCAGAGCATCTGTCTCTGTCACATCAGACTCTGAGTAAAGCAGAAGGTCTAACACTGCACTGGAGTAAAGATTTTACATGTTCTCCCTGCGTCTGTGTCGGTTTACTTTGGGTGGTCTAGTTTCTCCTTAAAATAAAACATTATGCCCCTACGTGATTTGAAGTCTGAAAGGCTTTGAACGACAATCATTTATGGGCTTAAAAGCATGTATGGGGTTTCTACCTGTGACACAACAATACTGGGAATATTAAAATCATGTATATATTCTAAAATGATTACATGCTCAAAAATAATGTAAATAAACAATACATGTTAAAAAAATAGTTCTTTTTTTTAGTATTGTTCCTGGTGTAGTCCCAGTGCTGCTGTGGTTTGGAGTGTGAACGCACCCGGAGGTTTTCCAGATGTTCAAAGTCATTTCCTTTCACCACATGAGGAGAATACATGTGGCTGCCAGTCTGTGCCCTCATTATCACTAATCACTCACTGAAAACAATTTCTATGAAGAGAGCAACAGTTTACTCTGAGTGCAGGTTTTGTTAAAAAAAGACCTATTGTGCTCGTCTGGTGTATAGTTATAATCTATGACATAATGATCATTACGATATGATTTGGACATTTTAAATCGAAACATTCACCTTAAACAGCGTAAATATCATCACTACAAAGAAATGTGAAGTTGATGGTCTTTCTTATGGACAGAGATTCATTTAAACCAAAAATTTATCCTGCACATCACTGATTAAAAAATGAAGTTGAAGAGTAAAGTAAGTCGAGAGCAGTGGGTGTATGTTGTGGAAACAGGAGTAGATCAGCAAAATTGTGTCTGGAAAATAAGCGATAAAGATTGCTCAAACATGCACAAATCACTCCAAATACAACTTCAAGTGACCCATCCTTCGGTGCTGTTGGGATATCTGTCAGGATCAGCGGGACCCATCTCCAGATCTTGAACTAGTCTTGGTCAGGGCTATGTTAGCTGGAAGATTTGACCTATTGTGCATGTTTTGGGTTGATGGGGGAAACTGGAGGGCCTGAATGAAAACCACTGTATATATAAGTGGACATAACTAACACAAAGTGGTTCTCTCAAGCACTGATTGCAACTGACTTCTACTGAAAAACTGTCACTTCTCTCTCTGCAACTGCTGCTTGTCAGGCTCGTCATTTGCTCGGATTTCCAATTACCCTGAATGTACACCAGGAGCATCAGCAACATGTAACGTAGGCAAAGCTACGTAGGCAAAGCTACATACGCGCGTACTTTTAAAAGCTTCCATTTACAACGGAGGCAACAGAGCTGCTCTTGTGATGCCAGCCTCACAATCTCACATTTAAAGACTAAACTTTTCACATTACTTATGTATTCATTGTTGATTGGATGAATTATGTTTTAAATCACAATACAAAAGTTGACAACACAAGAGACAATGCTTTGCAGCGATAATGAGCCATATCTGTGGTGCTACATTAATTAAGCTACTCACCATTTAACTTTGGCTGACTGCACCACGCACCTTTTCCTTCAGAAGTTATTCTTATAAAGTTGCTGTCTGATGTCGTAAAGTGTTTCATATTTATCCTCTTCGGCTGTAAACTTTCCGTAGTCCATCACGAGTCAATCCCTGAGCTCCTGATGCGATGCAGTGTTTACGCGATTGTAGTGGTTTTAGACAACGTATTTTGAAAGGGCATTGGAAGTTTATTTTGACACCATGTGCTTATTTTCTGTCTTTTCCCTGCTAAAAAGCCTGGAGATCCCCCGTTGACGCTGCAAAATTAGAACTCCAACCTAATTTGAGTAGCGTGTAGCGTAATAAGGGCCGTTGGAGGCGTATATGACACTGCTGGTATAAATTGTCTGACCGGTTAAATGAAGTGCTACACATGATACTAGTGCATATGTTGCTCCTGTCCTGTGCTGTTGTGCTTATGTGCTTTGGTGGTCCTAGAGTAGCCACTACAATTGCTTGCCTCGCTGAGCTATATTTGGTTGCTACTGGATACTACGGGTGATGGCACACTCCCTTAGTCCACTACTATTACCCGGTCCATGATGAAAACTCACCCAACACAAGAACATACTGTGATGCATGTTGGCTAGCCAGTCAGACACCAGGCCTTCACAAGAAACCTCCAGTACTGAAACACTAGTCCCTAATTTTTGTCATTTGCAAACACACAATAAATCAGGTTATAGTTGCAGAAAATGTTGAGTGTATTTCCAGTAAAGCTCCGTGTTAGCAGACGGAGCATGCATCTTTCAGTAGGACTCGTGCGTCACCGACTGGTCTGTAAACTGGGTGACTTTGGTGCATTTTCGCCTCAGCCTTGACCTGTTTTTTTTTATGGAGCTTTTATCTATTTATCATCTTGGTGTCTGATGCTAAAGCGGCCCCAGCAGTGTGGAGACATTTGCCTCTGCCTCCTGTTAGGTTTCAGATCGGATCAGTCTCTCTCTATGTAGGACATGCTGAGGTATAGATAGATGCTTTCAGAGTCTCGGTCCCATGGAAATTTCACTGGGAAACTTCCAGAACAAATCGCCCCAGTTTCTTCCCATAAACTAGAACAGCCACTTGCCCTCTCCTCTTTTTTTTTCTATCTCTCTCTTCCTTCCAGTCCCCTTTCTCTCTCTCTCTCTTTCTTCCAGGACTCTCTCTTCCTTCCAGTCCTCTCTCTCTTCCTTCTTGTCAAATCAAACACTCTTACACTGTAAATTTGTATTAAATATTAAAGGTACTTACTATATTGAGCAAAAATTGACTCTTGTGAGCTTTAAGCCATGTTATCATGTTGTTACCTCATCAGAAACAAACCTGGAGTTGTGTTTTGTTCCATTCACACATTTAATTGTGTGACTTTTTAATGAGTCTGTCTACATTTCCAAAGATCAAAATGCTGTGATGTCATGAAGGGGTAGTTTTCAGGTAAGAGTTTACCTTTAGTTCAGTAGAGATTGGCAATTCCAGGGCTAAAATTATCCAAATGATTCTGGTGAAGGTGAATGGAGTTTAAAAACACAGTGAACACACATGACATCACGATTTCAGAAAAGAACTCAGCCTAAACATGCAGGATTTGTCATTTGTGAATGAAACGAAGCAGAACTCCAGGTATATTTTTGCTTTATTAGACTTTACTCTAATCCAGACATGTCAAACTCAGGCCCGGGGGTAAAATTTGGCCCGTGATATCATTATATTTTGCCCGCGAGGCAATATCAAATATGTATTTGATCTGGCCCACCGGTTATCAGATAGGGTTTGGGTTAGGGTTTTGTTATTATTTTATATTATGCTTATTCTGGATTCAATGTTTAAGCAAGAATATTCAATAAGAAAAGGTTTAACATTACATATCTCGAAAGAAGAGAAAACATTGAGGTCTTGTTGAAACTTTTCAATAAATATTTAGTGTTGTATGCGTTTGCTAATATAAGCCATACTAACTGCTGAACATTCCCCCAATAAAGACACATACAGAACACCCCCAGCGTGACGTCACTGCAAAGTATCAATATGCCATGTGGGCTTATATGTGTTTCATGCGCTCTGTGTCAGCCCATAAAACCTGTCATTGCCATTGCCCGCTGCTCGTAGGTAGCATCAGTGACATTAAAGTATGGGCCAAACGCCATACGATATCAATCTCACCTCTCACCTTTCACTCGGTTAAGTACTCAGATCTAATTGAATCACAGAGTTACATCATCACAGTATCGTCATGGGGCAGAAGGAGCAGAAATCAGGACGCGTTGAGTGAGATTATGATGTAACTTTTCCCTGTGCAGTTTGAAATGCAGTGAGCCAGAGCGATGCCACCGAAGTTTGAGCAAAAATTAGCACAAATGAAGCATATGTCATGGCTAATGCTTGTGTGCTGAGGGCCAGTCTGATTTATGTGTTTACACTGCGTTAAATCAACACGGCGACAGTGGAAATGGCTTGGAAAATGTGCTCATAAAAGTAATGAGCAAAGAGTAAAGAGAGATTTGATTGACTTTGTGTTGTAGTTCTTAAAGAGGGAATTTTTGCAACATTTTACCTTTTGTTGAACTTTGGTTTGGAGTTCATGAATCATTTAGTGAATTGAGTCTTTTGCATAGATTATATATAAATGGATCTGCTAACCGCCACAAATTGGAAGTGAGCATGGGCGTGCTTCTGGCTCCACTGACTCTGGCTCCAATTAACTTTCTATTGAAAAACTGTCGCCCCTCTCTCTGTATGTGCTGCTGTCAGTTTTGTCATTTTGGTCTTAAAATGTTCATATTAACAACTCTATATGATCCTTGTGTTTTTACTTCACTATTTTGTCTCTAAATCAAGATATGGACATTAATACCATACAAATTAGATGCCTTCTTATCCCGAGGTCGCTCCAGCTACTGTTAGTATCAGGTGGACTGGGGAGTGATCGACATCTGTCTCTATGGTGGAATTTTCAGCAGTTACCATGGTGACAGAATGCACACAGTAGCAAACCATGGCCATGTTTACATGTTTTTTCAATTTCGAATTAAGTGTTCTGAATTAAATAGTTTGGAATTAAAATATTCTCTTTCAAGTTTACATGGAAATAATAATTCCGAATTGAGTTTACATGGAAAACACGAGAAATCGCCTTCACTTAATTCTGCTCAATGTCTGGGGGAGGGTTCTGATTGGACATGAACACGAATGTATTTACATCTACAGGAAGAAAACACACACTGCAGCTGCTACCGGCTTTTTTGTCATCTCAGTTTGTCGTTACACAACGCCAAACTGTCGGACACAAACATGATCCAAACTTGTTCCGGAGTTGGTATAATTAAGCAGCAGCTGGAGAATTCTCTCATCACGCACGTCTGTCAGCTGAGGAGGAGAACGGAAGAGTGCTGGAGAAGGGAGGAAGAAGACAAGACTGACAAGATTGAGTCAATGGCTGGCCTACCTCTCCCACTCCCACCTCCCGACCGCAAACCCAATATCCAGTGAATGAAAGTCCAAAGCGAGGACTGGTGAAGCCGGATTGTTCTGATCGAGGAATAAATTAATTTGGCTTTAAAATCAGAATAAACCACCCAGGCACCCACTTACTTTGGAATTAAGTTTAATCCCGATAATAATTTTCATTAGGAATTAAGTGTTCACATGATCTTTTTAAGGCAGAATACATTTTTATTCAAAATCTAATTATTTTTATATGGAATTAAAGCTCTCTTGTAAACCTGGCAAGTGTCAAACAAGTTTTACGATTGTCTGAAAATTCAAGAAAAATACAAAATGGATGTAAACAACACAATACGGCACCTGCGAAAGCTCAGAACCTTCAGAATTCCTTCCTCGAGCTGCAGAGGCTGCACTAGCACTGATTCATGACTGGCTGTAGGTACTGGGGGTTAGGTAGCTTTCAGTATGTGTCTATCCACTGTACCTGTAGATATGACAAGTAGTTACATTTTGGTTTAACAGAAACTTTCTCT